ATCATGACCTGAGCCAGAGCCAAGTGTCGGACGCTGAACTGGCTGTGCCACCAGGCGTGCCCCTACTTAGAAATTTTTAAGCTTAAATCATCATCCAGTTTTCATTCAGTATTCCTGCATGGCTCTGAGCCAGGGAACTCTGCTGGCGTAGTGATAGCCATTGGTGTTGGTAGTATCATGGGGGAGTAGTATCTGCCTGGGCAGTTAGGGGGTGGCTTTTGGGCATAAGCTCTCGGCAGGTGGTAGTAGGCCCTTTAAGAGTTGTAAGTGGGAGAGTGACAGGGAGAAAATTTTATTTCAAATGTGTACCCTGAAGTGGGGTGGAGAATGAATGGGTTTGAAGGAGCAAAGATTGGAGGCAGGGGTTGCTGTTAGGAAATTTCCAGTGGCGTAACTAGGTGAGAGAGACAGAGACCGAGCCCCTGACCTAAGGCAGATATTACAAGGATAGGGAAGAGGGGGTAAATAATAATAATAAATAATAATAATAAAGGGGTAAATAATAATTAACGTTGCTGGCTGTGTGCCTGCCGTAATGTGGATTATTTCATGTAATCTTTCCAAAATCCTTATAAGGTAGATACTGTTATGTCTACTTTTTGCAGATGAGGATGCTGAGGCACAGAGAGATTAAGTTATTTGCCTAAAGTCACACAGCTAGCAAGTGACAGAACTAGGCCTAGCTCTAAACACTCACCGAAATTACACATTCCTGTACTCCCCCCATATGGAGAACTGTGATATTAGGCTGTGTAATGACTGATGTTGGGCCAAGGAAGAAAGAAATCAAGGATAGGGACACCTGGCTGGCTCAGTCAGAAGAGCATGCAACTCTTGATCTTGGAGTTGTAAGTTCGAGCCCCACTTTGGGTGCAGAGATTACTTAAAAATAAAATCTTAAAAAAAAAAAAAAGTAAAGGATAACCATCAGGTTTCTAGGGAAGAGGTCTAGGTAGATGGTGATGATGTCTATTGAAGACCACAGGAGGGGAAAGGTAGATTGTTAAGTACTATCTGAACACATATTTTATCAGTTTTGGTCTTTTAAAATTATAATAGCAAGAAAATTCAGCTCTAGAGGAATTTTGAGTTTACTCTTATTAAAACTATAGTCCACTTATGATTTGTGCATTTAGAAAAATGTAAATATATATGTATATATAAATTTATCTCAATCATGAACAGAAAAGGGGTGCCTGTCGGGCTCAGTTGGTGGAGCATGTGACTCTTGATCTTGGGGTTGTGAGTTCGAGCCCCACATAGGGCGTGGAGCTTACTTTAAAAAATTAAAAAATAAAATCAGGGGCGCCTGGGTGACTCAGTTGGTTAAGCGACTGCCTTCGGCTCAGGTCATGATCCTGGAGTCCCAGGATCGAGTCCC